ACTCACTGGGGTGTGTCTTTCCACTTAATCTACCACTGTCGCTGACCCAGTTCACTTTTTCTCAGGAGATTTGGCGTATTTGCAGAACCAGTATTGGGCAAGTCATTTCGGTCCTATTGGAAGAAACATTATCGAACGCATGTTATCGAACAGAGTGTACCGCTCTACGTCTTTACGACTGGCATGGTGGCTGCTTTGGCCCAAAGTTTCCTGACTGTTAGATACTGGCTACTGTGCGCGTTTATATCATTGTGTCGAGGCCCAGCTCCTAACTCGTTCTAGAACCAAAAACAAATTCATCACCTTCACTTTATTTCTCTTCATCACGGTTGCAGTAAGCTTCTATCCCTTCTCCACTTTTAAACTCTAACTTCAACTGTCGCTGACAGACCGGCGGCGCGTTCGCTTCTTCCATCGTAGTCGCGATCATGCCCCAATATAAGGATCGGGGGAAAGTCATAATCCCCGCCACGTCGGCATCTCTTCTGAAGTCTTTTCGACTTTAACTAACACACGCGAATGTAGAACCTGGCTTGTCGCCGGAGCCTTGACGGACATTTCCATCGCGTTGGCCCTTCTGTTGGAATTCAGAAAGGTCAAGTCCTCGTTCAAGGAGAGCAGGCAGTGAGCTTGCCAGAGTCAGTGTCACTGACCGGATCTCATTCTCGTTGGTAGTCTGCTCGATAGACTAGTGACACAAACCATCCAGACCGGAGCCGCTGGAGCGACCATAGCGGTTGCTGTCTTGGTCGCGTAGGTGCCAGAAATGTCCGGCATTTGTCGAACTTATTATATAACTGTTCGTTAGGTTTCTGGCAAACAAGGAAAGCAACGGTGAGTTTCTCGGCCTTTCTTTCCATCCCTGGCTCACATATCCCAGTCCCCACTGGTATCGCCTACTGCCTAGGCCGCGTCTATTGTCTGACCATGGTTCGCACTCTAATAAAAAAATCCCTGCCTTGGTCGCGTCTCACAAAACTTGAAGCTCGCGAATCTCAATGTCAGGGAAACCGGAAACACGGGGTCAAGCAAGCGCACGTCTTCGGGTGCGAACCCAGGAACTCGCGGTGAGCGCGGAAATCAGGGGCGGAGCGAAGGCGGCGATGACTATGGCGGCATTCGTACGTTTCTGGTTCGCGCTCTGCTGAGGCTGAGGCTGACGCAATGCGTGCTCCAGATGTCCACCGGACAGCTGTGGTACTCGAATTTTCAGGTTCTGAATAGCTGCGTCGCTGATTGTGCCTCGAAAGGTTCATATCGACTCTCCGCTGGAGTTTTCTATGGGCTCGTTCAAAATCAAAGTGACATATTTCTCTCGTTCAGCCTCCATGACGGCGACGCTGACGCGGTAATAATTCTAGCCTCGCCAGGGCCTTCCTGATGATAGCCCCACCGCCGAAATAGAGAACCATTCTGCTTCATACTCGTCCAAGAAACAGGACCTATTCGTTGCGTAATTTTCTCGGACTTTTGGTATGGACGTTAGTTATTCATTTATTGGGGTGTAACATGTATGTCATTCGTTTTCCAGGATTTCGGAGAATGTCGCCCATTAAAGCCACGATTGTGCGTCTGGAAACACCCAGATGGCGAAATTTGTGGAATTTATCCGGAATCAACTATTGCGTATTTTGACTTAATAATCTTACTTACCTATTTTATAATTTTCTTACTCTCATCGCGTCCTTGTGGTCCATATACTGTCCAATAATTCAATTTAAAAACCGAAAAAAAACACACACCTCAAATGGAACTATAAAAAAGCACATCTCAATCAAGTCACAAAAATCAGCACACCTTCACCTTTGACAAAAATTGCGACGCAACTTGAATTTTTTTGCCAAAAAAGGATACCGCACCTGTGGATACGAAATTTGCCACACGTTGCTCTCCGCTCTCCATGCGTGAACAAAGAAATTGACTCATACCTCGATAAGTTTGATGGGTGATTGTGGGTGGGTGTGCGGTTTGTTCGTTGGGTTGGCGGTACGATACTGTTCATTTGTGGGAAATAGCTGCCTTTTTATAGTAGATGAGAGGAGGAAAGTGTCGCACCTCCTTCAGGCTATGCTGAGCCGCAATTTGGATTCAGGCCTCGGCGCCTATCCGTGCGGGTGTCGGAAGAACAACGAGTCTCACCTACACATGAATGACTGAACGGTTACTAAGATTTGGGCCTGAGCGGTTCTGCCGATTTCATCAGGCTTCTGGGTGACTCGATGTACCCGATGCAGGTGTGGCTGAACTGATTGAGCCTGATGTAAACATTCTGCACAATACTTGCGATGCACGCTCGTTTATAATGGATTAGCAGCTACCCGTGCTACGCTACGGAGGATTAAACTGATTTTAGGTTTCCAGATCTAGATGCTGAGGACGCCGCTCGTCATCAACCTTTGGTTGACTCCTCACGGCCTCATGGACAGCTAAGTTTATGGGAGGATCTTGGTCCTAAGGCTTTTCACAGGGCCGAAAGTCTCCGAAATTGGCCAGTATGAAATATTTTTGGTCACACTGGAAACCATGTTCAAAATTGATACATCTTACCTGTTCGGTTCTCATGGCCGCCTCCAAATCTTGCCTTCTGTCGCCTTTATCTTCCAGTCTTTACAAAAGTTACCTTCACATAACCTTTTTCCGACTGCCAAATTGCTGCTCCTCAGTTCAAACTCCTGCTTCATTCCAAACATCTGTCGCCTTCTCGTCTTACCCAGCTGCAGCTTTTAAGAAAGTTATCTATAGTGCCTTCCATTCTGTTTTCATCTTGTGTCATTCCCCCAGTGCTCAGTCGAAAGCAATTCAGAATTAAGTCAGCAAGATGATACAATACTGGAAAAATGCTGCTTTGATCTTGGCACATGAGCTGAACATTAATTATGTTGTTTATCCTCGAAAACAGCTGTACTGTAGCTATCCTCCTGGTATTATCATCTTATCTGCAAAGTACCGGCTTCATCTTGAATCCCATCTCAAATCATTAGAAGAAAAATCTACTTTCGAACTCATGATCATCTTACTCGACAGAAAAATATTCAAGCCTGTTGTCTAATGTGTTCATCCATCCACCCAGAACCCATTTTTTGAAGATTTGGGTTGCATTTTATGAAGGAACCAATATAATTCTGCTTTTTTCTTGCTTTCTTCAAGTTGTCTGATGGTTTGTGAGGAGGACTAATTTTGTGTCGTGTAACCCTGATGACAGCTGTCCAGTCTTTTGCTATCGATTTACTTGCAAAAGTGTTTGAGCATTCATCTGGCCCGTGTAACGTCAACAGTTCTACGCATACTGAAACGGCGGGAGGACCTGGTTCGACTCCAGGCTGGGTCATCGCTGTCCTTTTTACCGCATTCAAGTCCGCCAGCGAGAAAATATCTCTCTCCAGTGCAAAGCTCACCTTGCCCCTGCCGATGTAGCACGTTCAGCATTATCGTGAAGTGCGTGCCGTTAGTGCAAGTTAACGGAGATCCGTACTGAGATAGACTTATAGATCAAGATGAGCCGGGATCCGTGCGTAAATTGTACAGCAGGCCCAAGATTGATGTCCAAGACTCAGTCACGACGGGTTCTTGAGGGAAATATAGTCCAAAAAAAGGGTCGTATTCAGGTTCCAGGAGGAAAACGCATGGCCCATAGCCAAGAAGGTCTGCCAACTTGAAGCTGTGCGGCCGGTATGAGGTAAACGGCGGAGGCAAGGGCCGGCAGGATTCCTTTACCGTCGACGCTTGAAATCGGGATACAAACACTACTTCAGTCGCTACAAATTCAGTGGCAAACTTAAACATGTGGACGGCACTGGACGCCCGAGCTCAGCCTGTCTCCAGATGGGGGGCAGCTTTTTGGTCGGGGTCCTCAATATTGGGCTTGCGGCGTTGTCAATATCCAGGTTTTAGGAAATGAGATGAAAGCAAGATGAGAGCAGGAGGAGAGAGCCGGAGCCGGGCCGATGTTTGGCTCTATTGAACCGAACGCGTCCGAGTCCACGTTTTCGCAACTACTAACTGGTCCATCAGTGACCATACCCATTGTCTTTGGCCGGCCCCCACGGTGACGCAGCACCTCAAGTCCGACAAGCAGCACCAAGCCCCGTGGGGCTCATCGTCGGCGTCACACTCGCTATCGTTGCCATCGTCGGAGGCCTCGTCTTCATCCGCTGGCTCTTCATCTGCCGCCCGCGCCTCCGCGACGCCCTCGCAACCCCTGCACCAGCACAATCCGCATTCGCTGTAGGCACAAGTAGCTGCAGCAGTACCCGCCCCCACCCGCACCGACGGCGAGCGATCACGACGCCGTCGAGCTCGGTCACTACCCGCCCTCGTCCGCCGGTGGCTCTTGGCCCACGCCCTTTGCCGCGCCCGCACCCGCCCCCGGCGCAGGCTCCTCCCCCGGTGCGCGCCAAGCGTATCTGACCGCGGAGCTGCGCGCGGCGCAGGCGCTGCTCGAGCGCGGCGGGAAGGACGTCAATACGACGCGCACGAAAGCATGCATCTGCGAGTTGAAGAAGCGGCAGCAGAGCGCATGGGCGCTGGGCCTCTAGTAGTTGGGGGCGGACTGCTGGATCAGTCTTGCGTTGGCGGATTTATTCGGATTTATGGTGGCGCATGGATGTCGCTTGCGCAGGGAGCGAATACAGACTTCAGATTCGACGTGGATTTCCGCGTGCGTGCAGTGTAACCTCCCGCATTCGTGTGTACGCCTACAGTACCTCTCTTTATTTGCGCCTCGCGATACGATAGTGTTATGTACCCTGCTTGCTTTATTGTACACAATCCTCCGAGCTGTATCTTACAACTTTCAGTCACTACCACAAGTACATTACATACCCAGCCGTGGATTTCCATGTTGACGTTGTTGTCTCCGCTGCCAAATCATTTCCTCGTCCGAGTTGTCTGTGCCCTCTTTGTTTCTTGCAAATCCATCTCTTTCGCCTCGGCGCTCAATAATATTATATTAATCCTCTCTCGCGACCCCTCATAATCTACGATGCGGATTTGGAAGGGTATCAGACATGGTGTAGCGGTAACATCACCTCTTTGATTTAAGAGGATTTCTCCGAGTTTAGGAGGTGGTCTCGGGTTCGAATCCCGGTGTCTGAGTGTATTATTTGTCGATAGCTTTTATTTCTCTTTTGCAGTTTTCCCCTCAGGTTGATTTGTTAGCTCTAGAGAATTGAATGGTCCTTTTTCCTCCGGTGTTTGTCCGCGAAAAGCTTAAATATCCGAGTACATATGGTACATATGTGTGTTCGTAGAAATCAAGATTATTCATTCTCCTGGACCTTTTATCCAGTCCTTGACTCCTCAACTTCGTCCTTATTCAAGTAGCAACCTGGGGAAGGACATCAGACATGTTGTAGCGGTAACATCGCCTCTGACATTAACCAGTGCTACAAAGTCCAATTTAGGAGGCGCTCCCGGGTTCGACTCCCGGTGTCTGAGTGATGATTGTGAAGCAACTTTTTGGTGACTCTCTTTTTGAAGGTACATGCTTTTATTTTGGATCAGTGTGAAAAATGTGTATCGGAGTCAGGCAAGGCTCGGAGCCTTCATTGCTCGTCCTGGAAAGTCGTATCTGAAAGTATCGAGTGAACAAAAAGTTATCAGTCCTTGGCTCCTCAACTTTGTACTTACTCAAGTACCACCCTTGGGAAGAACATCAGACATGTTTTAGTGGTAACATTGCCTCTTTGATTATGTAGTAGAAAACTGATTGGCGAGGAGGCGGTCCCGGGTTCGGATCCCGGTGTCTGAGTGGAGGATCTGCACAAGTCTTTTTTAGCTCCTTTTTATTCATTCATAAGGCTCCTCTGCGGATTCGGGCATCCCTGGCACCTTCATTTACAGTGCCATGGTCATGTACTTCATCTGTCCTAATACAGACCTTCCATCGTTTTAAAATTCAGACTCATATAGCTCGCTCACGAGTCTCGTCCGGCCTCGTATCTCGGCCGACTCGCTTCCCTCGCTCGCAAAAGGAAATTGGAAGTAGGTTCGGAGTGCCAATGATCTAGAGGTGCTCACATTATTTGTGGAAGGCATCTGGCAAGCTCTGATTCACACCGTGTCTGCAAGGTATAGTAAGTACGATGTAATGATTGTACCCTGTATTATGGACCGAAAAAGAAAGCTTTTCGAATTACATTCAGCGACTACCTAGCTGAGCTGCTAGTTTATCCTGGTAGGTCTCGATCCCAGGAATTAAATGTTTGGAGCTACCAGGCCTGGACCGAGGATCTCGGAACTACCTGCACGATCAAACTTTAGCAATATCCCGAATGAGTCCATGCTGGAGCCAGCTTCAGGATGTTAGCCAGCTGACGATCCAGCTGGTGTATGTCTGAGGGTACAGGTGGATGAAATATCATTGTATTGTTGTTGGCGGTACAAATGGGATATAAATATCAGTTGAACATGCAACGGCGCTACATACACGGTACAGGATGAATACACGACCGACACAGTGCCACTTGCTGCCGGCAGGTCGACACATAGCCAGAACGGGTGAATTACGTACGCGAGGTCGAGTAAGCAGAGCAGCATGATCCATGGTTGGCAGAGGGCATTGCATTTGGTCGCGATCAGGGGTTGCAATCAGGGTAAAAAGAGTCGACGTCGGACGATGGTGTAGCTGAACTTCAATTTTACGGTGCCGTACACGTCGATTCAGAGTGGGAACTTGAAACAAAGTCCGAGTCGAAGGGTCAGCCTGTTCGGCGGTGAGCTTTGTGAGTCATACTGCGGGGGGGGCGGGGGGGGGGGGGCGGGCGGCATTATGTTCAGCTGTCCAGTTTCGATAATGCCACTGTGTGAGCAGACTGGACCAAATGGATTCAAAGGAGTCAACGAAAGAAGGCAGAGGCCGGCACTGCGGCCCGTCCCGGGCCATTCTTTGTCAGTTTCGCGTCCCTTCAACCTCCAACCGAAATGATCGCAGCTATGTTCTATTAAGGACTAGTTACTTTGTCGCAATTAAAGGCTCTCCGAAATGCTATACGCTCACCATTCAATGCCTGGCAATCGCCGTGATAACTGGCAGACTGTTCCGTAGTGCCAGTCCACTGCCAGCCTAGCGACTCCATCTGGGTGTATTTTCATCGTGAACTAAATATGTCGATTCCGAGTGGAACATGAACTTGGTACAAAGTCGGTGGTTAGTCGTACTACTGCGGGGCCCCGGGTGGAATTACTATCTTCAGTTGTCCAGTGTAATTGTGTGAGCAGACTGGAGAGGCGCCCAGTCGCTGGGTTCAAGGAAGTCAACGAAAGGAGAAAGTCACACGCCGGGATCTCCCGGGCCTTTCTTTGTCAGCTTTGTTCCTCCAACCGAACTGATCGCAGTTATGTTCCAAGTAAGGACTAGTTACTTAGTCGCAATTAAAAGCTCTCCGAGATGCTGTACGCTCACCATTCAATGCCTCGGGGCGGTCGCCGTGATGACTGACAGACTGTTCCTTAGTGCCAGCCCAATGCCAGCCTAAGTGACTCCATCTATGATTCTGTGTGTATTTTCACCGTGAGCTAAATATGTCCACATCAGGTCCTGACGTGCTATTCAATTTGTGACTACCATCACTTTGGGCGATCCCAGAACGAGGAGAACTCGTATGAGTCATTTGACAAAAAATCTCTCGTTTCGTCTTGTTTTCTGACGGCTTTCAAGAATAGACCCCACAACTGTTCGTGCTACGCCATAAGTTGCGCTGTCAGCGGATTTTGTTTAGAACAAGAACCGAAGAGCGGGGTGAATGGTGCTCAATACGATTAACGCCAATACCTCCCGGTTCTCATTTATTTAAAAGACAGAATCTGCAATGCGGGACGTTGACTGCCCAGGATGCCTATGCCTGCTCTGTTGAAGAAGCTCAGCCGGAAAAGCCTGCGGAAAAGGACCCAATCGACAACCAGCCCCAAATCTCTTGACATTATATACGAACCTCCTCCCCCGGTTTCGGTCTCTGGAGGGGGGATGCCAACGCCGCAAATCAGCTCTTCTCCCTCTTTCCGTATAAGTGACAATTATTTTGAAAGGCCAACTTCGACAACGCTCACGACGCCGAAAACACCCGGATATTCTCCTCCTCCTAGTGGTCACCCTCCCATCGGAAATACCGTACCGCAGGACGATTTTTCGAAGGACTTGCAGGCTGCATGGACCTCCGCGACGACTGATCCTAAGACTGGCAAAACGGACAGGGTTCTGCAGACATTAGGTGTGTGTCCGACCTGTACATTCCACCGCGGCTTAGAAGGCTCATTATGGTAGAAAATGGGGTTGCCGACGCCATGACGAAGGAAACGCGAGGCGCAGTGATTGTGGCTGGAATCGAGACCGGCCTGAATGCTGTCGGAGGGATGGAGGCCATCGAGAAGGGCCTTAATTCGTTCATGGAGGGAATGCCGGTCCTGATGAATGCGCTGGATGAAGTAGCCAAGGTTCATCCGTAGGTCTCCACTAGCCCCATGTCCTTGTAAAATTCATCCACATAAATTTGATTTTCTAGATTCATCGCAGGTACGTCCATGTCTTGTGACGCGACGTTCTCGACTTATAGCCCTTGTAACACGCAGTGGCAGTCCTGGCATTCAAGGTGCGCTGTACAGGATCATTTACCCTAGTGTATGCTAATATTGTGAAAGGCTGTCTGGGCGTTAGAGCAAAAACGTCGCGAGAATGATAAGAAAGTCCTCGTACTGCACATGGAGATGAAGGAGATGATGGGTGTTCTAACGAAGTACATCTCAGCTGTATTCATATTCATCTACAGCTCCTAATCTTCTACAGGCTCAAAAACGTCAAGGACGCGGACGAGATCGCGCCCGATGGCTCCACTATCAGGGGCCGGATGCAGGAGATCGTCAAAGGCACGGCGGACGATATTAAAGCTTGCGCGAACGGTTCGTCATCCTTTTCGAGTATCTCGCAGCCATTGAAGAGCGTTCTAGCTTGCGACACTTACTCGAAAAAGAAGCTGGTCGGTAGGTGCACATGGTCTTCCGCTTTGATTACTCTGAAAGGCCACCGCAGTTAAGATCTTGAAGGGCCCGATCTGGGAAGGCAAGCTATTGTCTCTCTTACCAGACGCTGTATTAACAAAACACAGGGAAGCTCGTCAATTTCGTTGGAATCTTCACGAGGCGCCGCTCGGAGTTCGAATTTGCGCTTTCGATACACACCGCGCTTGGCGTCGACACTGCTAACAAGACGCTGAGCATAGTCGACCAGACGACGCAAGAGCTGAATGCAAAGATAGACATGATTACTAAGATGTTCCAGCAATTTGTGACCCCGTCTCAGAAGGAGATGTCGCGGTGCGTTGTGGCTGTCCTTTCCTTGTGTACAGGGCTTATTCGTGGTTTTAGAATGATCGAAGAAGAACAAAAGCGAGGCGGGCAAGCGTGGCTTGATGACAAGGCGCTCCAAGAGCTCATTGAATTTGAAGCCAAATCGGGCGAGCCAGCCAGGAAATCAAGGAAGCCATTCGACCTGGAAGATTTGAAGGAAGACCTCCAAAACGACCCAGACACTGCGATGGAGCGGAACCTGGAAAGATTCAACCGGAAGTTTGATGCACAGACGCGTCAGATCATGTGCGTCCCTGTCCTGTATCTGCGGTATCACCACTAATGGACAATACTCAACAGCGAAGAGGTAGGTCGCCTGGTAAAGCGCGACGGAGACCGTGTCATAAGCGCGGTCACTGCGGGACCTCATGATCGAATCATCGATCCGGTTCGTACCGTTCCAATCTGTCTCGTTGGTGTCTATCTAAATATGCTCTAGGATGTCCATATAGTATGGAAAGAAATGGTGGGAGCGAACTGAGCCCCTCTATAGCCTTTTCTAAGTTTAAGCAGGGTTGGCGTGGAAGCGTCAAGGCGCGCCACTTTGTCATGGCGCTGCGTGACCACTTTCAAGAGAAGCGCAAAACTCAACGACTTGAGGACAAAGCCGCGGATGGGCAGCCTCAAGAGCAACCTACACCGGCTATTAGTATGGAGGACGAGTGGGCGTTAGAATATATCAGGTACGCCCGCGCTCCTGATAATTCGAATGAAATTACTGACCCTAATTTTTAGCGTTATCCGGCTTCAACAAATTTCGGAGCCATTCGACGACGACGCCTCGGGATTTGTCACCGTCGCCGAGGCGAACGAATTTACAAAGATGAGGCCAATGGGATGGAGGTATTTTGAACTGTGCGATTCTGTTTTCTTTCTGACTGCTCATTTATGATCAGTTTACCTCACTGGATAGCGTACTGGTCTATTGGTGAGCTTCATATCCAATTGCGAACAATACGCTTAACCTTGGTAGGCCATCATCAGGCGATGACGACCTACGTGTCTATGATCACCGAGATACTAGCAAAGATGTTTGCCATAATTCCGAACATCGATCCAGTCAATAAGACGTCTGTAAATAATTATCTCAACACAGTCTATCAAAGAGTCCAGAGTTTTAGAGCGTCGTTAAACCCCTGCTGTGTTAACGCAGGTCTGCAAGTGAGTTCATCCTTACCTGTTGGTTGAGCGACACTGAACATTTCTGGGTTTCAGGAGAAATTTGCGACCTACGTTACTGCGGAAGAGGCTCGACTTCGAGGCAGGTACCGTTCTCGTTCTCAAAATTCCACTCCAACTGGTTGGTCTTCCGCAGAGAATTTAGAAGGTTTCCAGTATGATATCGATGCACCTGATACCTTGGAGCTGGTAACAGGTTCGTTGTTCATTTTCCGCTCAGAGCGTTAATCA